TGTCGACCAAAATATATATAATTAAGAAGCATTATGTACCGAGCAACAATACTCAATAGCTCTGTTTTAAACATTGTGTTTAAAAATGGTATGTTTTGATTTGTCAACCAGTCTTGGATATTTTTTTTTGTCCATGCACTGTTGGGCACTTTGTTCAATATCATGCTGTGATAAGGGGCGTTATCCAGTATAATCATAGATGGACTCTCCAATTTTTCTAATAACTGATGTTGAAACCAGTTCAAAAAATTGTCCTGGTTCATCTCTCCATGGTAATCGCTCAATTTTGTTTTCGAAGAAAATATCGCTTCACTACCCTCAATAAACCCATTTTCATTTCCAGCATGTAATATAATGTATCTAAAATATATTAGTTTTAAATTTTATAGTGCAAATTGTGTAAAAGTACATACCTTTTACCATCTGTTTTAATAGCTTTCACGCTTTTTTGGTTTCCATTTTGCCAAGAGCGACCTATGGTCCCATTTTGAAATATCCAAGTTTCATCGAGGAAGACAAACTGGTATAAGGCCTCAACCTTGGCTTGATTGTATTGCCTTAGAAATTCCACCCTTTTCAAAGCTATACTTGGTAGTTCCATGAGCCCTCGTCGCGGATTGTCCTTAAGCCACTTAAATCCAAGATCTCTAAGCAACCGCCTTAAAGACGTGGCACTACCATCAAATAATGCCCTATCTCTTAATCGAGACCATAAAGTTTGTATCGTAACTTGTTCTTCTGAAACCATGTGTAATATGATATTATAATTTAGTTAACAAATTAATGCAAATTTATGATAAGTTATTATAATAAGATCTTACTTTTGTGATACATATTATAGATCACTTCTCGAATGGCACTTGTATCCAATGTCGCTGTGTTGGTTACACGTTTAATATAACTCCGCTTTTTCTTGGGCGATTCTAAATTTGCATCACTTTTCACACCCTCGGAAATACGACTAACTGTCCTTAAACTAATTTTTAAAGCAGCAGTAACACGCTACAAAAAATGAAATAAAATTTCACTATTATTAATATACATTACATATAATTATTAGTAACCTACCTCTTGAACAGCATTTAAAGGCAACAAAGGCCCGTTGTTGTCCCTTTCTTGCTCAAAGTAGTGCATTAACGAGGCCACGAGTTCCTTACACCGACTATTTAACTGTTTGGGCATCTTTATATAACAAAATTGCCTTTATCTACTCGTAAAATGAATAATTTTGTTTTGAAACAAACAGTTGTTGATTTACAGTATGCGGGGCCAAAGGATTTATAAAGATTTGAAATGCCACAAATTGATTCAGTGTCAAAATTAATACAAATGTCAGTTCCCAGTTTAAATAAGTTTCAAGGTGACAATGTGTCAACGCTGCGAAATCGGTTTAGTGCGTTTACATGTCGATAAGTGATTGGAGCGTTTGCAAAACATTTTATTTCGCATAATGCGTCTAAATTTATCAGAAAGCAACTTATGTGATATTTTAATAACAATGTTTATATGACTATTAACCATAATAAGAGAGTAATGATCATTTTACAATTTATATATCACATTAATATGAAACTGCAATAGAGCAATTGTTTGTGATAGAAACCTAGGCATTAGGTCGGGGAATTTTTATCGTGATGACGTGCACGCCACTTTGTTTGGCGTTGACTATATATGAGCGTTAAACCGCGTGGACGCCAGTTTATTGATAACATCACACTGGAAATTTTGGATGACGTCAGGAATTTGGTCAATTTCCGTGGTAAAAAAATTATAGTCAAATTAGAACTGCGACGCCTGTCTAGTGCCAGCTGAAGACAATGGGATTTCTATATAACCTAGATATATATTATTTGAAGAATGTAGAAAAAGGTCGCACAACTAATAAAAGACGAAGAACCAGTGGAAATTCCGTTAATCGTCGTTCAACCATCGTCAAAGACACAGCATCGAGTCTATAGGGCTGATCGTCCATTGGAAGCGTAGTCGCGCGACTCGAAGGTAGCGCGTATTCGCCCGTGTATGAGCGATCATGAGACTGAGCGACTGGCATCATTCACTGCAGGCGACTCTATACGACTTAGTTCGCAACTGTCATCATCGAAAGAAAGTGTGCTCTGTAAAATCATGTGAAATGGATTTGCAAAACATGTACTTTTTGGAGCAACCTTACATAATAAGGCGTTTGAGAGCTCGTCGTGATAAGAAGAGACGTTTGTGTTGGATAAATGAAATACTTAGTAGAAGAAATTTACTGGGAGAATTCCATCACCTACATGACGATTTACTGAATGATCCGCAGAAATTCTTTGATTATTACCGGATGAGTCTAGACACATTTCAGTACATTTTGAGTGCTATAGAGTCATCGATCGCCAAAGATTCAAATTTCAGCTCCCTGACAATAAGACCTGTGGAACGTTTAAGTGTGACTTTAAGGTAAGTAAATTTATTCAATTGTTATAAATCTATATTAAGTTTAATTGAACAAAAAAAAGTAACAAAACCATCTATCATAAAAAGGAAATAAAAAAAGTACTCAATAGTCGGACAATATGCATTCGTGTTGTAATTCTTATTGCGCCTGATCGGTATTAGCCTTCTTATTATAACACAGTTACTGGATATCTTGAAAGTTCCCGAAATATTGTCGCAAACCTGTATTAATCTGGTCTGCAGATGAGTTCGACGTTTGAATCGTCCATGAGGGTCCACCGGTTTCGCTGGTGCAAGGCGAGGGTACCGGTGTTGTTGTGTAGGTCGATGGGGTATGCGGGGATCTGTGGTATTGCTCTCCTTCATCAATAAGAACTTGCTGAAGTTTATTTCTTGCATGCAATTTGCGGTGTTCTGGAACTTTTTTTAGATATGGAAGAAGACTAACCGAAAACTGATAGTCGCTGTCTCCTTCTTTGTTAGCATGTTCAGTAAATAACTGCAACTTAGCCCTCTCGATTTCTAGAAATTTATCGTCAACCGTGATGTCTGCTGGTGTATTTTTTTTACGTTTAGGATTGCTAGTTCTAGGTGTTATTGGAGGACCAGCAGGACGAACGTCAGCATTACCTGGTTGTGTATCATGCTGTTTTCTACGCGTCTGATGATTGCTTGTAGGTACTGGGGGTTCGATCTTACTGGTTTCGCTCGATGACATATTGTGTTCTCCTTTGTCAGTGACAACTGCTTGTGGTGATTCCATAACAGGCAAATCATCTTCATCGGCAATATCGTCTCCGTCATTATTTCGAGAAAATGTTCTTTCTGGCGAGGCAACATTTCCCTTCAGCTGTCGTGGCTCAATTATGTCGGAGAGAAACAGCATCTGGTCGAAGAAAGTCCATGAAGAGGAACCTTCCTCCGGCGCCTCATCTCCTGATTTATGGACTTTTTTATATTCTCTTCTAAATACATCCCGTAGTCCTTTCCACTTTTTCTTTACTTCGTTCGCTAAAACACAAAACCACAGTTTTGGTTAATATTGCAAATAGGAACATAAACTATTTTTTTTCAATAAATGTTCATAATGATTTCTGTTGTTACAGGTACTTGGCCACAGGTGCTTCATTCAAAACATTGGGGTATTCATTTAGAATGTCAGATGTAACCGTTGGAAGAATAGTTAAAGAAACGTGTATTGCTATTTGGGACCAGTTGAGCACTCTACATATGCCATTTCCTCCTACAGATGAACAGCAGGAGTCAATAAAAGAAGGTTTTTGGCATAAATGGAAATTTCCTAGTTGTGTTGGGTGCATCGATGGAAAACATATACGCATACGAAATCCAGACCATTCAGGCAGCATGTTCAGAAATTACAAGCATTTCTTTTCAACTGTGCTACAAGGTGTGGCGGGACCAGATTACAAGTTTATTACCATTGATACAGGAGGGTACGGCAAGGAAAGTGACGGTGGTGTGTTTTCTAATTCCCGCCTTCATAGAAGGCTTGAAAACAATGAGTTGGGTAATAAACGGCTTACCACACTGCCTGGATCGAATATTAAAGTTCCGTGCGCGCTGTTGGGAGATGAAGCCTATCTATTGAAAACTTACTTGATGCGACCTTTTCCCGCATCACAACTTGGACCTTCACATACAATTTTCAATAAACGACTTTCACAAGCACGGCAAGTCATTGAATGCGCGTTTGGTATTATTTCCGCCAAGTGGAGAGTACTTCAAAAAGGAATTGAGGTTGAACCAAACTTTGTCGATGATAACGTTAAATGTGTATGTTTGTTGCACAATATTATATTGACAAAGAAGGCGAACCACAACCTATGTCAATACCTCAACAATCAGAAACCAGTACTACAAGAGCCAGATTTGCTTCCCTAGGCGAAAATAGGAGCGTCACTACCGCTTATGTGATCAGAGACAAATTCGCAGCATATTTTTGTGAACATCAAGCAAATACCTAAAAAAACTTGTGTCTGAAGTAAAAGCTTTGCACTGACGGTCTGTTTTTGCCTCAATATCTCTTATGTTTTGTTCACTTTGTAATATAATAATGATATTGAAAACAACACTTACCATTATTAGTAACACCTACTTCGTCTGCAACTTTCGACAACAATTTCCTCTGAACATCACGAGAATGATACCTTTTGTCTTTCATGTTCCACAACGGAGGCTTTTCACGAACGGCACTAATCAATTTTTCGTTATCAATGTCCATATCGAAAACGAAATATTACCTGCACAGAACACACGAACCCAAACGCAATGAATAATTTTATGGCGTCTTCGTCAGAGATAACCCTATGGTCTTCGTTTGCACATGCGATCACAAGCGACTAATCCCATTTTGGAGGGATCGGTAGCCAGTCGCTTGTGGTCGGCCGAGGTCGGTCGCTCAAGGTCGCTTACAGTGGATGTTGTTTACATAATTTGTCATTTGTGAGGATCAGTCGCTTGTATACGGGCGTATACGCGCTACCTTCGAGTCGCGCGACTACGCTTCCAATGGACGATCAGCCTAGGGCTGAAACTAATCGAACAATATGGTTCTACACGTATCAAATGAGAAATTGGATGTTTTTGAGGAACCCATCATAGATCATTCCTTAGCCAGCCTTCAAGAATACACATACAAACCATATGGATCGCCATATTTCAAGAATTCAGATATAGTTCACATCCTTATAAACTTCCAAGATCTTATTTTAAACATTGCTGACAGTTATATTTACGCTGAAGGAACATTTACGCCTAGCGACGCTACGAAACCCTGCTACTTATCAAATATCGCATTGGCCTTTTTATTTCAAGAAATTTCCCTACAGATGGGTGGCGAAAAAGGTTATGGAGTTTGGAATCCAGGGATAACTTCAACTATAAAAACGATGATACCATCACATGGTAAAAGGGCTATGCATACACTTTTATGTAGTGGTTGGACCTTAAGTGCCGGGAACTCAGCTATATGGGATGTCACAAGCAAAGTTTTTAGTGGTAGGATACCCCTAAAACATATAATGGGATTTGCGCACACAACTTCTACCCTTCCTCGTATTTCCGAATTAGTCTCCTGATCCTTTCAACCTCACATGATAGCTGTATGTATATCCTTTGAATCAGGCCAACGCAATGATGCATAATGCATCCACATCTTGCCAAACCAAAGGGGGTGTACTGCTTCTGGAAAGATAAATATAATGGTCAATATCAAGTGGAACGTGATATTTGTCAAAACAACTTTACCTGCTGCATTTTCCTAACCCAGTTCCAATCTGAACCGTTATATTCTACCCATTTGCCTATACTACCTCATATTTTTTTAAACTAATTACTACTGTCAACAAAGTCAAACTTTATCAAACATTTTGAACGACTACCTGATGGTGTCTTTGGTGAGCTTTCGCCAATATAAAATAAATTTGTCAGTACTTTTGTAGATGAACTTTTATTAATGCATCAGCAACAGTTGGTTACAGGGGATTAAGTAACGAAATGAGTACAGAGAATGGTCGACGACCGGTTTTATATCTCAAGATAACAATTTTCCAGAAATGTGTCGGGTGAAAATGCAAGCTTCACATCCTGTCTCACGAGTATAGAACGGTATTATACTCGTTGGGACTTGGATGATGTTAATGTTATCAGAATACCATAACTCCTCCCCACGGTGAAAAAGATTCGTCTCGAATCAGAATAATTAAGTTAAAGGTATTTACTCAGCTGGTTGAGAAATTGGAGGCGTGGGTGGAACTTTGGTGTCCTTCACATAACGATATTTTACAAATACAATAATAAAGATGATTAAAAATATGAGAATACAAACCAAAATAATAGGATACCATACGGTAGATCTATAATGTACATTTTGAAATTTGACTTGCAAAGAAGTAAGGTTTTGATGCAAATAAGAGTTCAATGAAACATTTGCTTTCTGAAAATGATATTGTGTACCTGTTGCTGCATAAGCTAGGTCTAGCTTAATTTGAAATGTAGTATCAAATTCTAAAATTTGATGATCGACTAAAGTATTACATTCTAAAATAATATGTGTTGCATAATGGATCAAAGAAGTACCTTTACAGTCTCTTATCTTTGTTAATTGATTAGTACCAATTACATAATTATTTTTATTTAATTCTAATATTCTCGTGTAGTTTGTTATGCTTTCAGACTCACACATGTTGAACCTCTGTGGTTGACAAAGAGACTGGAAAGTACTTTTACAAACGTACAGTTGATTACTTAGCTTAACAATGTCAGAACAATAATAATTCTTTTCATAAGTCAATACATGCTCACTTGGTAACATAATAAGTTCATGATTAATAGAAATTGCAAATAATTCATACAATGTAAATTCCTTAATATCTAAAATGGGAAACTTGATTACAAATATAAATTCATCTTCTAAACAGATAATAGACATTTGAGAGAGGTCATAGATTTCGAATAAATGAATGGAATGAAATGGCAGCAATTGTTCCTTTTTAAAAATGTTTTGTAGATGTTCAATAAGTAAATTTACTTGATGATGCCTTAATTGCAAAGTATTGAGACCAGATTGTTGGTTCAACTGAATGGCAAGTAATAAAGAATTTAGATAATTGTTAAATTGTTGCATGTTAGTAATAATGGAAACTTGATGTATCATCTGATGTGAAAGTAAAGTTTGCTTTTCAATAGTCTGAGCATTGTATAAAATAACAGACTGAATACGTTTAGTATTTTCTTCAAAAGTTTTCTGTAGAGACTGACAAAATGAAATAGTCTTTTGCTGATTAACCAATAAGTCATCTTGATTATTTCTGAGAGCTTCTTGATTCTTAGTAATTTGTTCTAAATCATTTTGATCTAAATTTCCAGATATGAATCTAATAACAGATCCTAATCCATTAATTAAACCTCTTCTTACTCTGTGTTGAGTGAGAGTTTCAAATTTGGACATGGTATCATTATACAGATTTCTAATTTGATTGTCTAAAGTTGTGGGAATCTTTTGATGAATTTGAATTAGATTTTGAAAGAGTTCCATGGTATGGCGAATGTCAGTGAGATTAATAGTAAAGTAGACCTTATGATAATGATCAATTAACTTAGCATTTCCTAAACGGATTTGCTGGATTGGTTGCAAGTAACTTTCGGAGTGGATGTTGACGGTAGTGATTGTGGTAATGCATCTGAAACAATACGAGGCGGTTTGAGTTTCTTGGTCATATGAGTTCTGTTTTTAACTTGGATTTTTTCACCATTTTGAAGATAGGACATAAGTTTATTATATTTGGGAAGGTTTTTGGGACGTCTAGTATGATCTTGTGGTTGCATAAAGACTGGACCTTTGAAAATAGGGATTTTGGAAGGTTTAATACGCGAATTTCGCTTTTCATTAATAGCTTTACTTTTGTCATACATTTCTTGGGCTAATCGAACATGTTTTCGTTTTTGGAACTTCTGAAATTCTTCATGAGTGGCAATGGGATCATTATGGCCATAAAGTAAGTCAAAAGGGGTTCTCTTGGTTTGGGAGTGAATGGATTGATTGTAGATGAGTAATGCATCTAAGAGGATATCAGTGGTTAAGTCTGATGGACGTTCAATTCTCAATGTTCGGAATTTTTCACCTAGAGTTGAATGGAAGCGTTCAATTGGGGAAATAGACGTAGGATTGGCGGTAGAACCGTGTTCTTTGCAATAATCTTTAATGAGATTTGAATTTAATTCACCAGGATCGGCATGAATCGCTTTAGGAAAGGCATGATGTGCAAAGAAGTGTTTCAATTTGCTAAGGATAGTAATTTGATTGGAGGAGACTAAATGGTAAGCTTGGGCGTATTTGGAAAATGATCAAAGAACGTGAGATACTTGTTCTTCTCAATAGTGAAGACGTCAATAAACATTAATTGGAATGGGGCAGTGGAAAAGAAGGGACCTTGAATAGGTTGAACTAAAGGATGTCGTTCGTATTTTGCTTTGAGACATGTTTCACAAGTATTTATATAATCTGAAATAATAATCTTGGCTCGAGGAGTATAAATTAGTTTTCTAAAGTGTTTCGTTAATTCCGTTGTGGTTTTTGGAATGATAGAGTGAGATTTGTTCTCTTGTTCTAAATATTGGGGCTTAAAAGCTGCTTTTTCGAAACGGACTTTATGGGAAATTTTGTCTAGGACTTTGTAGAGAGCTGACGTGAAGTTTTCGTCATCATACCAGATTCCGTATCTTGTAAAAGTGGAACATTTGTTTGCCAAGAGGTTAGCAAGAGGATCTAATTGAAAAGGATCAGCATAAACATCAAAACAATTACGAGAGTGGGTAACAACTTTGAATTTGTCTGACTTAATGAAATAAATTCGATTAGGATATGAATAGAAGTTTTTATCTTCTGAAATGGTAATAAGAGTAGGATGCGAATCGGGACTTGAATGTTGGGTATTGGTAGATCGGTTATCGACTTCTACAGGGTTTTCTAAAAGATCGGGGATCATTGAAACATTTCCGTAGAGGGAATCAGTGGAATTAGAAAGTGCATTTATTTCAACTCGGGAAAGGGCATCGGCAACATAATTTTCTTTGCCTTTCTTGTATTGAATTGTATAATTGTATTCTTCAAGTTTTAAGCGCCATCTCGCGAGGCATTGATTTGGTTCCTTTAAATTGGATAACCAAACGAGAGGTTTGTGGTCAGTTTCGATCACGAAGGGGTTTCCAAATAAGTAAGGGCGGAAGTGTTTGCATGAATCTACGATAGAAAGTAATTCCTTTTCGATAGTAGAATAATTGCGTTCAGCTGAATTCAAAATTCGGGAATGAAATGAAATGGGTTTTCCATTTTGGGAGAGGACTGCACCAATGGCTATGTTAGAAGCATCGGTGGTGAGTGTAAAAGGCTTAGAGAAGTCGGGGTATGTCAAAATTGGAGGGTTACATAGGAGTTTCTTAATGGTATCGAAAGCAGTAAGATATTCGGTGGACTCAAATGGGATTTTCTCACCTTTTCTCAAATATTTCGTGAAAGGCTTGGAAAGTGAAGCGAAATCTTTAATAAATTTTCTATAATAATTGGCGAGACCTAGAAATGACTGAATCTGCTTAATTGTTTTCGGTAAAGGATAGTTGAAGATGGCTTTAATTTTCTCAGGATTAGGCTTAATACCATCGGGTGTAATGATATGGCCTAGGAAAGGGACATCCTTACGTAAAAACCCTGTCTTGTCGAGTTGAATTTTCAAATTATAGGAAATGAGACGTTCAAAGATTTGCTTTAAATGAATCAAATGAGTCCACGAGATGCAAAACTCGCTTAATGCAGTAAACGACAAGTTGAGAAAAGTGCGAAAAACGTTTCCTAAATTAAATTTGTTAATAATCAATTAATAATGTTAACCTGCCTTCAGAGCATATACATCTCTAATAGCTTTGAACGTATTTTAAAAAAATTCTGCAGTTTTAATAAATAAATGAAGAAAAATGAAAGCATTTAGCCAGTTTTGCACCAAAAAATATGACATAAATAGTTTGGAACAAAGTTTATTCACAAAAAAACTAAATAGTTACTTATAGATTACATTAAATTTGTAGAGTAATATCGCACGGTCTTAAACCACTGCAGCCAGCTTCAACATCATTTACAGAAGTCTGGTTTTCCGCTCTTCTAGGGTTAACAAGATTTTCTTTTAAAAAAAACAAATCAGGATTTTCTTCCCAGGCATTTCCATAATGTTTTTTGAGGAGAGCAATTATTGTCGATTTATCGCCTTTGAGTTTGCAGCCAATAGGAAGTTGAATGCGTGTCAATTTCATTCCTCTCTTGACAACAGACTTTGCTTCGCCCACGTCAACACAATAATTGGGCTCGCCTCGTACTAGTGCATTATTTTTCCCTTTAGTAAGCACAAACCTTTTAG